AATTTGCCATGGTAATGAGATTACATGGTCTACTCTGTTAAGTACCTACCATGTATTAGGAGCGGTGTTTTGCTGTCTTCTGGATATTATTTCCTAATCCTTAAAACAATATAGATGTTTTTTAAGTAGGGAAAGTGAACACATTTTTTAATCATAAAAATGTTGCTTCTGTATTTTAAAATTAATTGGTGGTTATATTACCGTAAAGGCAAGAGAGCACTGTCATTAAGTGCTCAGGCTCTGAAGCTAGGCTGTCTGAATCTGAATGCTCACCCCCGACTCACCGAACCTTGTGCAGGTTATTTAGCTTCCAGTGCCTCCCCTTTAAAAGGGGACAGCAATGCCTATGTCACAGGGCGTTTAAATGTGAAATGAAGCAATGTGTATACAGAACAATGTCTAGCATGAATAAAAACTCAGCAATAGCCAGTATTCCTTTGTGCCTTTGCCCTCATTTACTGCCAATCTAGAAAATATCAACAGTGTGCCAAGAACAGTGCTGGTTTCCAAGAATACAAAAATCCATATGAGATGATTGCTACCTTTACAAATGTGTGTTTTCCCCCACAGGACATACACTGTTGTTCAGCAATAGTGCTCCAGACTTCATGGTGATTAAAGCAATTCCCTTGAGCAGCAGTGATTTATAATCTCCCATCGCAATGTCCATTTCTGTAAGAACCAACACCTCTATTCTTCCTACTCTTCTTCCCCAATATGACATAAGATCTATTCAGCCCGAGTTATCTTTGGTGACAGGTGTTTCCCTTGACTCTGGGCAACAAAATGAAGTCAGGGAGCTTATGTCAGTGGACTCCTCCTACTTACATGCACCAAACTTTTCAAAGCTGAATGACTGCACCACTGCCTCAGGGTCTCTTGGATAATTCATTAAACTTACATGTTTCCTAGGATATGTTATTGATAGATGTAGTTTTCTTTCCCCAAAGTACTTTTTTTAAAAAATGTTATTTTATAAAGTCTAATTTCTATAAGCTGGAGAGAAATGTTAATGTTTAGAATCTTCGGTGCTGTACCCAATTTAGGGGAAGACTTGTTTGGGAACATCAGTTATTCACTGCCTTTTAAGCCACATAACACTGCTCACCCCTATGTCTCCTAGCTTCAGGATTATGAAAAAGTCCAAGTAATTCTGTTCCATTCATGATGGCTTCTGCACATTGTCTGAAAAGATTCTAAATTAGGCACTGCAGGCTTGACATTAACATTGGTTGAATAGATGAAAATTGTTGGTAGAAGGGACACCATGTCCTTTTGAGAATAACCACAGAACATTAAAATGGACAGATGAGCAGTTGTGATAACCTCTAAGCAAAAATTGAAAAGGAAAATGTCTACATAAATAAATGAGAAGGAAATGAAAATAGCAAAGCACTTACATTTAAAATAACTAAGTGAAGTACCAAAAAGATGATATGAAAAACTACTTTAACACCAAGGAAGCCTTTTAGAGTGGAGGGGATTATTGACACAGGATGAATTGTTTACTTGCCAAGAAAGAGAGACATTGCCATTCTGTCCACTTTGCATATTGTCTGTATTTATTATAGGAAATGTGAAATGTTCAGATGATATGGTATCTGCATGTACTAAAAGCCATTACTAAAAGAGAAATCAGATCTCTCAACTGCAGATAGAAAGATCCATAGTAAAATAAATCAGAAGCTCTAGATTTAAATGTGAATGCCAGAAGGAGACTGGTGCCTCAAGAAGTTCTTATATTGTACATATTACAGCTTACGAAATGTAAGTATTAAAAAGTAAAAATCGTATTTGGGATATACTTAAGATTTAAAAAGTCTTCCTGTTGACATGCAGAATGGGACGGTTGACAATTATTTTGTCTATAAGAATTAATTAATACTACAAAATTGTATAGCTTAGAATATGGTTTTAAATCAATTGTTAATTTTTTTTCAATGTAAAATACCCCCAAGTTTCAAGAAAATGAAAAGATAAACCATAGAGTAGAGAAAATATTTGCAAAAGACTTAGCTGATAAAGCATTGTTATCTAAAATGTACAGAGCTCAAAAAATTAATAAACCAATTAAAAAGTGGAATGAACACCTCACCAAAGAAGACGGCAAGTAAGCATAGGAAAAGATGTTCAATATAATATGCCATTGGGAAGTAAAACAACAGCTGCATAAATCCAAAACACTGACAACATCAAATTTTAGTGAAGATTTCTAGCAACAGGATACTTATTCATTGTTGATTGAAATGCAAAACGGTACAACCACTTTGGAAGAGAGTTTCAACAGTTTCAAAGGTTTCTGACAGACTACATACACTCTTATTGTATGATCCAATGATTATGCTCTTTGGTAGTTACCCAAATAAATTAAAAAGCTATTATTCAAAAACACCTGCACACAGATGATTATAGCAGCTTTATTCATAATTAGCAAAACTTGGAAGCAAGTGAAATGTCCTTCAGTAGGTGAATAGTTAAATAAAATGTGGCACATCCAGGCAATGACATATTATTCAGCACTCAAAATGAAATGAGTTATCAAGCCATTAAAACACAGGGAAGAAACTTAAATGAATATTTCTAGGTGAAAGAAGTTAATCTGAAAAAAACAAAACAAAACAAAACTATCCACTGTGTGATTTCAACTACAGGATGTTTTGCAAAAGGCAAAAATCATGGAGACAGTAAGAAGTTTAGTGGCTGTCAGGGTTTAGTGGGGAGGGAGGATTTTTAGGGCAGTAAAATTACTGTGAATCGTATTTTAATGGTGAATACATGCCATTGTACATTATCGAAGTATGCAGAATGTACAAGATCAGGAGTGAACTTTAATGTAAGCTGTGGAGGTCAGGTGATAATGGCATGTCAGTGTGGGTTCACAGATTGCAGCGAATGCACCTGTTGGGGGGTGTTTCGAGTGGGGGAGGATGTGTATGTGTGGGTATAGGAAAAGTCTGCACCATTAGCTAAATATTGCTCGGAAGCACAAATCTTTCTAAAATGTAACATTTATTAATTTAAAAAAGAGGAATGATCCATTGCTGTAAGACATACTGTAATAAGCAAAACTAGTCAATAGTGATGTAACCAGGATACTGGTTTCTTTTGGAAAAATCAACTGGAAGGGGGCATTAGAAGGACTTCTGGGGATGCTGTGTAATGTTCTATGTCTTGATTTGATTGATAAACACTTTGTGAGGATACGTGGAAATATGTGTTTTCTTGTCTCTCTCTCATATATATATATATATAAATAATCAATATCATAATATAAAGCATTTTATATATACAAAAGAACCTACCCAACTTTACATGTAAATTTCAGTTATTTTCCTGGGGGAATGAGTAATCCTTGCTCACTTTTCTTTCAGTAATTTTGGAAGAAGTTAATGAAGCATTGATGGATTAATTAAGACCCAACTAAGACAAGAGAAAACACTCTAAGTATTTAGAATGGATGCAGTTTTATCCAGGGAAATAGTTAAACAGATGATGGGCAAACTGAGAAGTTCAACTGTGGAAAGTCAATCAACTTAAAGACTAAAAGCATCAGAAAGCCAAAGGCACCACTACCCACAATTCTCAAAGGACAAAGGGAAGAGATAGTGTTGCTGTAGTTCAGGGTTCAAGGTCACTTGGGGAAGCTGGTGGAAAGAGCTGGGGCTGGAAAAGTAGCCCCTAGGGATTAGTCTCCCTGGAACAAAGTCAGAAGGGCAGGGCAAAGCACAGATCATCTTATGGTAAAAACACACACAGAGGGGTACAGTTGGAAGATAAAGATCAGTGAATAAGTTTTCCAGTTTTATTTTCTCTTCCATAGTAACTGTTACATGAGGCAAACTGAGTTACTCATGTTTTTACAGTTCATTAAGTTTGGCTCCTGGGAATTGCATTTAACAAATGTCCTAAACATTACTGAAATCTCCATTTTAGTTTTATATCCAATCTCAATAAATCAAATTTGCACACCTATACAATTATGAAAGAATTACTCACTTTCATTTTGAAGTTAATCAAAAGTATTAAAGGAGACATGTTTGCTTTTCAGATTAGAATTAGACAGTGATCAGTGCTCTGTCAGTTGGATTGTTTTATTCTGAATTGAATGTAGGTACATTCTGATGTTCTGGGCATCACCATTCTTCAAGTAGATAATAAAGACATAGTTTGAGAATTGATCTAAAGGAGGAAGTGGAAAGCCACACAATTCCTTCAATATGATCACCACTCCATTTCTCTATTACTCTCTGTTGTACTGAAAAATGATAATAACATTTCAGATTACTATTAGAGCACTAGTTTTCAGACTGCTATCGGTCTTTTCTAGTATGGAAAGATTATCACATATGATGATGATGTAAAATATATTTACTGTAGTTATCCATTTTATAGCTAGGCAAAACAAAGCTTAGTGAGTGTGTATGTGTGTGCACACACATGCATGTGCCTAATTGTATGTAGCAGTTTAAAATTTAGTGCATCTGACCTTAACCGTGTCCTTATTTTAGTTTAGGCAATATAAAATCTCCTAATAGGCAGCTTTTGAAATGTTATCCTTATCTTACACATAGATGTGTTAATGATTAAACTATTACTAGCACTAAATTTCCTTCAGTTTATGCCATTAAAACATGATTTTATCTTAATCTGGTTTATTGCTTTGATAATAGATACATTTTCTATATTTAAAAAAATAAAGTGACCATTTGAATAGGACGAAATGTTAAATAGAACATTTCTATTGTCTAATAGAAACCTGAAAGAGATGTTAACGGTCATCTCTGTGTTAGACAACTCATAGTTCAGATGGTTTCTGATAACAATAAACAGACAAAAGCTAGAGAAATGAAGTCTTTCACTGTCTGGCACCTCACTAAAAGTAGAAAGCAGGAAGGCATTGATAATATTTAACCTTGTTATTTTCCATGCAAAGAAGAGAAATATTTCACAGGGAAACAGTTCAATTCCCATCTTAAATTCTTTGTCTTAATCACGCTTACCTAAAATTGAGTGAAGAAACAGCATGAACTTCCCAAAACCATCTATTTTCTTTTCTTTGAAATGGTAGTTGATTATGTCATTTAAAGACTTCCTAAGTACTTCATTCAGGGTCGGGTAAATCTTATATATCTGCAATGAGAAACAAACATTTATTTAGTTAACCAACTCACCTTGCTTGCTTATTACAGAGACAGGAAGCCAGGATTGACATATCTAGAACATATGGTATCTTACAACCTTTTCATACACTATTAATAACTTGGAATACTGAACTGGAAACCTTGGTTTTAATTTATTATAAGAAATGTTTAGAATATTAGGCCTTTACTCTAGAAGTCCTTCTACATTTGAGGATGGTCAGGCCCAGAGGGATGAAGTGATGGTCCATGATGAAAAAGCTAATTAGTAACAGAAAGTGGCCTGGAACCTTAGGTTTCTAACATAGTTCTTTGTTTTTAGTTGATTAAGAACCCAAAGATGGGAGAACATGGACTCTTCTATGTTTTCCAAGTAGGTAAATTTTTTTTTGGGGGGGGGATAGGGGAAATATTGCTATTACCACCATTTCTGCTAAAACCAAGGAAACTATTTTTGAAGTCAAAATCCACAATACACTATAGTCTCTCATGCCTTGAGCCTGAGGAGTTGTACGTAGATATCACATAAAAATGACCATCGCAATGGCAACTTAACATTCTTTAATAATTCATAAGATTTAGTAAGTTGTATAATAACATAAATAGTAAACAGTTCACAAAATTGGTTCATGTTTCTTCAAGTTAAATTGTTTTACAAGCTTTTGCCTTGTGAGAAAATTTACAGATGAGAACTGAAAGAAGAGTTACATTGCTCTTCCCAGGGCTTAAGATTCCCTGACTCTGCCTGGAGGGACCCAGGTATTCTATCTATGCTCTTATCAGTATTCTCAACATTCTTCTCTTCCTCTCCTCTTTACCTCTCTGCTTCTCCCTCTCAATATATGGCCTAGATGTTACTATCTCAGTCGCCAGATGACTTGGAGTAGCAGAAATCTGAATCTCTGGAATTTACATGCTAAGGGGAAGGAAAAAAGTGAGGTGAAGGGAAACGGCAGAAAGCATCGGATCATAGTGGGGATGGAAAGGAAAGTGATAGAAAGAGCCTTGATGGATACCATTTGCACCCAGCCCAGTGCAAATCTTGTATTTTCCTTCCCAACTCTTTTTAAAATTCAGATTATTGCCAATGACCAAAATAATTATTTTAGCTTCCATGACTGACTTTAGGTATCCACTAATTATAGCTGCATCCAGAAAATTCGGTAACACTATCTCCCCCTTCCTCTAATGTAAGTTCTTAGTTATGCTCACTAGTACAGGATCATATTTATTCAACAGGAACTAAAGAAATTCTCGCTGCATATTTAATCCTTCTTCTGTCATGTTAGGACCCAACATTCTTTCCTTGTGATTACATTCTAAGTACATACATGGATTTGGCATTCTTTGAATTAAATTATTTTGATCACAGCAATACTTTCAGATTTTTTTGTTCTTTCCTTAAAGTATATGCTATTATTATTTTAATAAATTGAGCTAGGGGTAAATCAGACCTATGCATTTGGGAATAAATTATATATTAAAAATATTGCCCCCCAGTGAATGCAACTTTCCATCACATAATCAGGAAATAAAGGGAAACATACACATGTTCTTTTATGTAAGGATGAGCACAGAGATAAAGTTACATGTAGCTCTCTCTGGTAATGTATAATCACTAAAGAAATCCTTTAGTACTGGTCTGGTGACATTTAGAATCTTGTTGCTTGTTGTTGCTCCTCTACCTGTCAATCAATCTGGGGGTTGGTACTTTACACGTTTATTTTTGGCCTAGGTTTCTGAGTTACACCAGACTGCAGTGGTCTAGAAGGGAGATTAGGCAGTGACAAAAACACTGGACTGAACTCCCACATGGGTGGCTCAACTTGACTGGGATCTATGATTTTAGTAAAGCTGCACCTTACCCTGATTGTAGGCTGGCTTTGCTTTTACCATTACTCCTCTACCACAAAGTGGTCCCAGTTTCAGCCTGTATCTCACAGGCAGTGATCAAGAGCTGGTGACTAATCCACAGACAGATCCATCTCTACTACTCTTGTCTTCTATTCCCTGTAGCACCTTTAGAGTATGCGAACTGGATATAGATAATTCTTTCTACTCTTGAACCTGAGGGTGGCTGCCTCTCAAACTGCCAGTGAATTAAAGCCATCAATCTTTCTCTCTTTCTTGCTGCAACCTATTGGACATTTGCAAAGCAAAATTCTCCCTGGAACACTGGGTAAAGATAGGAAATGATACCTTTTGCTCTTTAAATTTCGGGTCTGGTAACTTAAATTCTAGGCTAACTAACCTAGAATTTCTAGTGTGACTAGAAGTTAAGATTTAATGTCTTGAGATGAAATAAAAACACTGCCTTCTTTTCCTAGATCCCTGAGAAATTTTCAGAAGGGTTCAGATTGGAATCAGTCTGTGGATATCTTACAACAGACTACCAGAAGGGAAAGAATTACTTTTTTTTGGGTGCCATAATTTAGTCATCTAGGCTAGGTTGAAGTTGTGGTATATAGATTTTTGCTTAATAATGAAACTCCCTCAAATTAGAGCACATACACATAGAATAGGCCACATAAAAAAGCTATGACAGGGCCAGGGATTTAGCTCAGCGGTTCCCTTACCTGCCTCGCAAGCGCAAGGACCTGAGTTCGATCCCTGTACCAAATAAATAAATAAATAAACACCAAAAAATATCAAAATTAAAAAAAAAAAATAAAAAAGCTATGACAATCTGAAAATGGACTCAATCTAGAGGCTTGGTAATTCCTTGTGATGTGGGATTTGATAAGGCACATTCTTCATTATATAAGGGTAGAATAAGTGGTCGCTTCTGGCTCTGGTTTCATAGGACCTACTCAAATATGAGAGTAAAGTAGAATTGATATTCATGTTGTTATTCATGTCTATGCCCTTAAAGATCTTCCTAACTAAAGTAGCACTAAGGCTTCACTCTCTATTTATCTTGAAATATTTTTCTGCACAGCACTTCCATTGTTTAATGCTTTATTTACTCATTGTCTCTTTGCACTAAATGATAAGCTTCACAAAGGCAAGATCTATGTTCACCACTGTACCCCTGATACTTAGAATAACGACTAGTGTGCTCGCTTCTGTAGCACATATACTAAAATTGGAACGATACAGAGAAGATTAGCATGGCCCCTGCGCAAGGATGAAACGCAAATTTGTGAAGTGTTCCTTATTTTTCTAAGATCGAAGTCGATTAATGATATAAATATTAAAACAGAAACACTAAGCTTGCTGGCAGATAAGTTAGGTAGAACTCTTGAAGACATTGCCATAGGAAAAGACTTTATGAACAAAACCTCAGCACGGGAACTAGCACAAAGAATCAACAACTGGGATCTCATCTTATTAAAAAGCTTCTGCACTGCAAGAGAAACTACCAACAGAGCTAAGAGACAACCTACAATGTGGGAAAAATTTTTTAGCAGCTGTACCTCAGACAAAAGACTACTATCTAGAATATATAAAGAACTGAAAATAATCAGATCCGCAAAATTAAAAAACCCAATTCAAAAATGGGCATCTGAAAGGAACAGACATTTCTCAAACAAAGAAGTAAAAGCAGCAAATAAATATATGAAAAAATGTTCAACATCACTGGTCATTTGAGAGATGCAGATGAAAACAGCACTGAGATTCCACCTCACCCCAGTAAGAATAGCTGCTATCAAGAAATCAACCAATAACAAATGCTGGTGGGGGTGTGGAGAGAAAGGAACCCTTCTCCATTGTTGGTGGGAGTGTAGACTGGTGCAACCACTGTGAAAATCAGTATGGAGATACCTCAAAGAACGAGGACTAGAGGTCCCATTTGACCCAGCTATTCCCCTGCTGGGTATCTTCTCAAAAGAATTAAAAGAATCATACCACAGCAATATACATGCACCCATGTTTATAGTGGCACAATTTGTGATAGCTAAAGCTTGGAAACAGCCCAAGTGCCCATCAACTGGAGACTGGATAAAGAAGATGTGTTTTTTCTTTCTTTCTTTTTTTTTTTTTTTAAATAAAATGGAGTAGTACTCAGCCATAAAGAACGAGAAACTAGAGACATTTATAGCTAAATGGATGCATATTGAGGACATACTCTTAAATGAAATAAATAGGATACACATATGTAAATACCAAATAGTTTCTCTATTGTGAGAAACTGAAAGTGTAAATAAGGATTAAAATGATTAAAACAAATAAATGATAATTTGAAATAGGAAGAAAAGGTCCAAAGGGGTAGGGGAAGTGGGAGGGGAAGTGGAAACGAAAGAAGGGGAAGGAAAAATTATGAGAAAAGGAAAAATTGGAAACAAAGTCTTTGTAAATAGGGAAGGGTGGAGGGGGTGAAGGGAGAACAGGGAATGGGGAAAAAATAAGAACCAAGATACATCATGTACAGGTACAAGCACCCAATGATAAATGTAAACATACTGTATACCTAAAATGTACCAATAAAAGAATTTAAGCAAAAAAAAAAATGATGGCTAGCACGTAGAAGTTCTGTAGTAATATTTATGGCATGAACAAACCAGTGAATGGATGTAGTATTTTGGGTTGTCAGTAAATCTGAGGAGAAATTAAGATGTTTTTAATCACAAAGATATGCTGGTCAGATTAAGGCTAATAAATGATAATTTTATTTATATATTCTCTAGAACAAAAGAAATGATAAAGTATGAAATTAAATAACATGAATGTAGTAAGGAAGAAACCCTATTATATTGTTTATCTCATGTTAAATGTTGCCCTCTTTTCTTATAAATCTTTGGTTCAGTATCTTTTTCTTATTCTTATTAGCTGTCCTGACACTGAAAATAATTTCATTACAATTTGCAGAATTCACAGGCCTCTATTTACAATGCTAGAAAAGGAACCCAAGCAGGGATTTTTTTTTCTTCTTTCATTATTATTTAGGAACTGGTAGCCTAAATAAATAGGAGGAATGAAATAGTTGGTCTCCAGGATTTACCCTGCAGGCTTTCCTTTTCTGTTAGTCATGTTGGGCAACTGGAATGTTAA